TTATGGATATACATGCAAAGCCCGCTTACACTAAAAATGGTACGTATTTTAAAGTTCAATAAATAATTTGTGTTTAAAAAAATTGAGAAAGGATAGCTTGAAAGGCTTCCCTGTTTCAAAACCAAAGGCCACAAAAAAGAGTGAAAAGCAAAAAAGAAGAGGGCTGTAAGGATACCACGTATCGTGATGCTATTAACGACCAAAAAATAAAAATGATGCTATTTACATTACATGCATCCAAGAAGAACTAAGCATTCAGTGCCCAGTACAGGAAAATATTCACAAACAGCTCATGGCGTTCCCTATTTCTTCTCTGGTGATATCTCTCCACCTTTCACTATTCTCTTGTGCTTAAACAAAATATACAGATAGTTTACATTCTTTCACATTTTATGTTTAAAATTTTCTTAATTATTAGATAAAAATATTAAATATGTTTTATATTTTTAATATTTTTAAGGTAATATATAAATATATTTTTTGTTTGATATATTTGCTATAAAAGTAGGTGAAGAATTATTAAATTTAATCTGTATTCCTTTTAATAGTCTCATGTGTAGGATTGCCTTTTTTCAAAAGAATAAATTGCAAGTCTCTTTAATAGATTAAATATTTGATAAACTTTATTTATAGTTTATTAGTATGAGTTTAATTTTGATGTATTATTAATATAAAAACTTTATATTTAAAAGATTATATATTTGAATGGAATAGAGGATCTTGTAGATTCATTTAAAATTTGTAATAAGCATTCCTTCTCTAAAAGATTTGTTGATATTTGAAGATTAGTTGAATTGCAAATAGTAAAATAACACTACTTGTTATTTAAACTCTGCATGTCAATGATACCTTGCCTAGTAAAATTGATTGAAGGTACCATGTTCTTATCATTTAAAAGGATAAAAAAGTACAAAAAATTTTACATTAAATATTATGTGAGGATTTTTTCCCCAATTGAGAATATAAAAAAAATAAAATGGATTAGGTTCAATTTGGTTGCCCGAAAGAATTAAATGGTCAAATAAAATCCTAACCTCATTTTGTTTATTGATTTCATGATCTTTTATCTTGTATTTGCGAAACATTTATTCTAGAAAATTCTAAAAACAATTTCAATTTTTTGCATGCCATTTATAAATAGTAATTGAATTCGTGAATTGGATGTCATGGCAATATTTTAAATTTTCATTTCCACTTATTAATTATGAATCAGTGTACGTATTTTGCTGATGTCAGGTAGTTAATACATTCAGCTTATAATTAGGTATATTAGGCCAATCACATCATCAAATATGTAGCTTATAACATCATAATTAGATGCACTCGGTTTATGAAAACTTTACGTAGCAAATCCAGATGTAATTGTATCAAATTTCAACGTGCTGCAATATAGCTTGACCTACGTTTTTTGACTATTTACCGATGAAAAATAATGCGCAACGATAGGATCTAATGTGTTTGTTGGAATTGTTTCAACACGCAATGTGTCATGATTAATTACTAGATTCATTAAATTATTCACTTGTTTTAATGCGTATGGCATCGATCAACTAATGTTTGGACTACGTCCAGCAATTGATAAAATGGATGAGGATGCAGGTTCTACCCAGAAAGGATAATTGCCAATGCAATGCCTTGTAGAAATCTAAAAGAGATTTAAAAAAACGATTTTTTATTCAAGATTGATGCTTCTTATTTTAAATTTTAAATTTCTCTGATAATATTTGAGATTAATTGCATGTGTATCGTACCATTATGTCTGGCCTCCTGCTTGTAAGTTGTAAATAAAGGACGTACGTCCATGTTGGTCTGCTATAATAAAGCACCCGGACGTGAAAGCATGCATTATTTTGGGAAACTCTAAACAATACATTTAGACTACCGACACTGTTGTAACACATAAAGACTAACGATACTCTTATATAATATATTTTTATTAAAGTTTTTGTAATATAAGAAAAAAATAAAAAAAATATGAATAAAATAAGTGATATATTATGAAAACTTGAACTATTTTCGTAATTCCATGAGTTTGAAATTAAAGATATAACAGCATTAGGAATCGTTAATGCTAGAAATTCATGTTTTATCATTAATTTAACACTTTTTTTGGGTTAAAATGTAAATAATTTTGGGCATATAAATCTCTCAAGTTGGTAAATTAATTTAATTCAAGAAGTCATAAGAGTGGTAGTGTTCTGATTTAGAAAAAATTTCTTTTTTTGTAGAATTTAATAAAATTTAAAATCCAAGGCTATAGCCACAAATTCACAGCTGCAACCATGAAATTGTGCAACAAAACAAAAATTCTACATAGTTACAGCCATGACTATGAATCTATAACTGTAGCCATGAGAAGATAAAGTAATTAATACAATCTAGATCTCTACAGCTACAGTGTCTTGAATCCATAGCTGCAACAGTGGAATTAAAATTTTCAAATTTTTCGTATTTCAAAGACATGTATAAAAGGAAATTTTTAGGGGAGAGAAAGAGGACAAACAGAGATCGAGAAGAGATATCCAAGAGAAAACGAAGCACAAGGAAGACGTGGGGAAGAGATTGCTTGAGAACAAGGAGCCTTCTTCATCTCTTCTTCTTATAATTTTATTTTGTATCTTGCTATAGCTCTCACCATGAGTGGCTGATTTCTCTTGGATTGGATTCGATGTAACTACTAACTCTATTTCTTGTTGAGTTTATATGATATTTAGTTACCTTACTTGCGTGTAATTCTAACTCAATGCTCATTTGGCTTTATGAACTAGTGTTTAGAATTTTGTTGAAAAACATATTCTTAATCTGAACTGAATCATCACACTTAACAAACTCTTGTACTAGGAATAGACTTGTGTTTGTTAGTCACTTATGTTCAAGTTATTGCTCATGTTTTAAGATTAGGAGGCCTCACAATACTCCCCCTATAGCAATTAGGATCTGACATAGAATAGTCCTGCAGGGTCCTCCTTACATTACCAGGTTCTTCCGCCATGGTTAAATCTTGTTCTCCTTGAACTGACTGCTCTTCTTGACACTCTTGCTCTTGTTGATCAGCTAGTGCTTGTCTAGCTCTTTCTCTTCTTCTTCTTGCACTGCTTCTATTCCTTCTAGCAGTTTGTTCAATTTCTGGATCAAACAGCAAATCCTCCGGATTAACAGTACCTCGCATAAATACCTGAGAAACACAAAATACTAAAAAAAATAAAAACTCTAAAATAAAAAAAATTAAAATTAAAATTAAAAATTAAAATTAAAAACAGAACAAAATTAACTATCTAGAGCCTACAACTCAAATCTCAAGTCTCTTAGCTCACTAATATCAACAGAAAATTCAATCCTCGGCAACGGCGCCAAAAACTTGTTGTCGTTTGGCAAGTGTACCAATCGTTACTGTAGTAAAAAATATCGTCCTCAGGGATTGAAGTTGTTGAATACTAGATCACTAATTTTTGTTAAGTTTGAGAAATTAAGAAATAGATTAACCAAAGAAAATTCTTAATTTTACAAAAATTTAATTACAATGAAATTGTTAGACAATTGATTTCGTACTCTTTCTTATGCATTCCTACCCTTTTCAACCGATACAAGAATTCAAATAATCCACTTTGAGTTTATTAAGAGTTGTCTACTCCTAATTCCTTAGGCAAGTAGAACTGTTCATTGAACCCTAATCCCTAATTCCTTAGGATGATTATGAAATTCAAAAGAACTGTGAATAACAATTATCGTCTCATAAGAAAACTAATTAGGTTTACGCAATTTCCCAATTGTGACAAAATCTAATTTGTTCTACCTCTTTTCGCAAACAATTCCCAATCTCTCAATTGTAAAATTGCTTATAGAATAAGCATGATAAACAAAGATAGAACACAGGGATAATGAAAAATACTCAATAACAATTGAAAAGGTTCAGTACGTATGATCCAAAGTACTACATCAATTCTCTAACAGAAAAGAAATTAGCTATGCATAATTTAAAATAAAAACCCAAAGACTGATAAAGCGGTTAATCGCATCAAGGTAGCCTCCACCTCCCGGTATTAGCTTTCTTCTCCATCTTTTCTGCTCCCTTATCTCTCAGATGCCCCCTATTTATCTTCTAAAATTTTGTCTTTTTGCCTCCTCTTCCTTGGGCCAAGTCCACTTAAAATTATAAACATTTGCAAATGGTAAAACCACAGGTTGTGGGAAAATCCACAGCCTGCTTGTGGATCTTTATGGATGACTTTTGCATTTCTAAAGTGTTTCCACAAGTATAGCAAAAAATTCACAATCTGGTTATGATTCTCTCTGACTTCTAACTTTCGCTCTGAAATATTTCCACAAACATGAAATTATCCACAATTCAGTTGTAGAATCTTCTGACTTGAAATCTTTACTTTGTTTTCTCTTTTTCAATTTGATGCACCTAAAATATTTATTTACAAGAAAAACAAACGTGTAATCTAAAACAAAGATAATGCATGATAAAATCAACTAAACAATGCAATAATATATGCAAATGGCCTAATAATCTAAAGCATGAATGCAATGATAATATATACATACATCACTTGCCAAGTGTTACAAAAAAAATGTCACCAGAGACTCATTTTACTAGCCAAAATATGACGCAGAGAAGTTGTTCAGAATAAAAAATTAGCAATTCTTTCTTTTCTTTCGGTACATGAAAATAACGATCATCAGAAAAATATATGTTGCTTTAAAGAGAGAAAAAAAGTATACAAGTGACAAATTGCCTTCCAAATTACGATTTTATTAAACGCGATATAAAATAACACAAAATGCTCTCATTTACCCTTACAACAATGCAATTGCAACATGCATTGCAGCAGCAGAGAACCAGCTGAAACCAAATATTGGCTTCTTATTGGGAGAACACATATCACTTCTCCAACAATAGGCAGGAGAAGAAAGAAAGAACAATTAAAACACAATTGAACAAATTAAACTATATATATTCAATTGAACCACGCATATATACTTATGAGTCATGGCGTTTAATTAGTGAGTGCAGCAGCAGCACGGTGCCTCGATGCAAATCGATTCACGAAAGCAAGGGCATTACTAGTGACTTGAGAAACGTCCACAACCTTGGGCCTAATCGCAGCGTTCAACTTTCTATCAACGTGGGGCCCATCAAACCCATCAAGACACGTGGCCTGATCAGTGATAGCAGCACTGACCCAAGTCTGTACGTTGCTCATGTGCCACGCCAAATCCTTCCCCTTGCCCTTACCCTTACCCACAAGCCCAAACTCCTTAACCGATTGGTTCAAACGGTCAACACTGTCATTCATATTATCTATGCAATCTCTCACAGTACTGTACTCCATGGGCTTCATCCCCTTCACTAAGCCCATCTTCTTCACGAATGATGCGCATGACTGGGCCCTTGATACGCTCACTGACAGGGCCGTGATTGTTAGTTGCTGGTCGCTTTGGCGAATCGCGTTTGCGTATCCCGAGAGGCTTTGAACGCACGCGACGGGGTACCGAGTGGCCTTGCATGAGGACTTGATGAAGTCTGTTGGGTTGGATTTGGATCGTTTGGTAACTGAGGACTCGACGGTGCCTGCAGCAATTAAAAGGACCAGCAAAGAGAGGCTGAGGAGTGTTGATGCCATGAATGTGATTTTGTGAAGAATGGAGACTTTGATCATTGGTTTGTTTCTGTTATAATGTGAAGATTATGGCAATGTGATGCTCGCTTATATAGGGATTGCATGAAAATTCTTTCTTAAATGTGTTTTCTGGTCAAAACATGATTAGAGGCGGTAACTACAGTCACATGGCTTCTGCAGTTACTGTGTTCTTGTTGAATTAATGTCTTTCCACTTTCCCATTCTTAATTTTAAAAATTTGTTTGGCTACTCCCGTTGTTTCTTCAGTGAATATATACCGGTAAAGCAAACACTTCTACAAGACTTGCTTGGATGAGCTTTTCAGGAAAATATCCTTTTTTTTTATGTGATTTAAAACCTGTTTTATTAATTTTTACTGTATATTTTTAGACATTAAAAAAAATCAAATTATTTTGTTTAACGAGTTCCATTATTTGAACCACTGAAAATTAATATTATAGATAACATTGTATATAATTATTTTTTATATACATACACATGTCTAAATATATTCGCTAAAACTGAAAAAAAAAACACTTAAAATGTCTATCCAATACGTACAAACCTATATAATTATTTAGAAATCATAATGGTAAAAAAATTACAAATTAATATTTTTAGTGTTTAATTTTAAAAAAAAATTGAGGAAAAATAAAACAACTATACCAAGTTTAAAATACTGGATCGAAATCAGTTGAAACAAGGGAAATAAAAAATTGAAGCACAGTTATAAGCAGCCGAATAGTGATATACGACGTCCACGGCATTGACTGACTATTTTTGATTGGATTGGGACCAAATGAAAGAAGAATGTAAAAGGTAGGGATACCGATCCCCTCCCACTGCAACGTGATTTGAAGATTTGGTTTTATTTCTTTTAAATGAATTTAAAATTCATTTAAGTAAATTCTGGACATTTAATTTTAATGAAATTTTGCTTAAACAAATTTCAATTTATTGAGCAAAATTTCACTAAATTTGATAAAGACAAAGATGGGGTTCTAGTTTTGTAGATATAGATGCGAAGACAATAAGGCACGGAAGGAAGGAAAAAAAAAACAAAGAAAATAATGGAAGAAAAGTTGTCAAGTGCAGCAAAAAGAAAAGGAGAGAAAACAATGGAAGAAAAACTGTTCATACCTCCGCTAATATTGAATGTAATATTCTTAATAATTATATATAATATCAAAATTTTTACTAGTTCAAATAATAAAATTAATTAAAATATCATTCATGCTACAATTTTAACACATGATAACTATATAATTTACCAATTCAAATTTAGAATTTAATATTTAATTATAATTTATGAAAAATTAAATATTATCATGTAATGTTAGGGAGTATTGTAGGACATATAATATAACAACATCAATTAGTTGTATCATTACATAACGATAACTAATTAACGATGGAATTGCTTTTAGACATTTTAAAATTTACGATTATCAAAATTAATGAAAAGATTATATAAAGTGAAACAATATACTTTTGTGTATGTAAAAAAGACATTGTTAAGAAAAAGCAACAAAAAATAATGGATGCATGTCTAAGGTCAACCTTGCTACTCCTATAACATAATAACTCAGCTAGACAGAGACTCTTAGATGACCTCGTTTGATCACATGGTAAAATAAGCAGAATCAGATGAACAGTGTAGACCTGTGCAGTGACTTCTTTCTTTATGTTGGATGACTGATCTAGATTATATTAGGTATCTTTTCTATCTGAATTCGGTCCTTGAAAAAATTTGGGAACAATTAATCATATACATGCTAATGCTAATGTCGTGTAAAACTTTTTAAATGAGAATGAGAAAGGAAAACACATTTCTCATTTAATTTCATTTTGTATTTGCAAATGGGCACCTTCTGTATTTCAACAAGTTATGTGTTTTAGGTTCTATTTTTTTTCAAACTGAAAGAATATTTAAAAAAATGGTATAACAACATGGTCTGCAAATATATTCTCCAAATACATGATAACAGGCACAACCTTAGTCATGCCGAACAAACCAAACATGGGTGCATGCATACGTTCAGAAGTTCGTTGGATATTTCAACATGATAAAAACACAGGACATTTTTGAAAAATTCTACGAAATTTGTGCTATCAAATTTAGTTATAGTTCGGTACATAGCCCACTTTTTAGACTTTAGTTAACCCATACTGTTGCTACACATAAAATTGTCAGCAAGTTTTACGCTATTAAATTTAGTTCTAGTTTGGTAAATCGCCGCAATTTTAGACTCTTAGTCCTGCTAATTATACTGTAGCATCATTAACATTTATTTTTTTTTTCTAATAGATATGATTAAAGGACACAGGACGTAAAAGTTAGCGAATTTTGTGCTATTTAATTTAGGTTTAATTTTATTGCTCAATTTTAGTCTGAACTTACTATATCTACATTTTCCCATTAAATTTATAAAATGTAATAATTTTATGCATTAATATTTTTGTTATTCAATATTGGCTTATTTAAATTACCCTCGTTTCATAACTTCATTGTGTCTACGTACAAAAAACAATATATTTTTTTTAGATCTTTTATGATTTTTTAGTTTAAAAATGTAAAAAAAATTGGTTTGGAGTTTTTTTTTAAAAAAAAGTATTTAATCATCATAAAATATTTACAATATATTTTTATTGAAAAACCTTAAGAAAATAGACAAATCGCCCTCAATCTTGGGTCTAAGGTTTCTAGACGTCTGATCCTGAAACAAACAAGTATTCCATCGAAGATTCAACGCGCTGGAATCTAGTATTCCCGATTAGGATAGCTGAGAGATATGTGTGTGTGTGTGTAAAGAAGAAACTTAAAAAATGCAATCAAGTGGTTAATATTTTTACAAATTTTGTTCATTGGTGTGAAAAAGATAGTTAAAAATAAAAATGTTTATTAGAAATATAATATAGTATATTAAAAATTATGATACGAATATATTCATAGTATTTAAACAATTATTTTAATTAATACTTTAAAAGTATTGATTACATTTTGTCTTATTTAATAGTTGCAGTTATCTTTTATAGAAAGAAAATCGTGACACCAAGTATTCCCTTGTTCTGCCTCCATCGCGAAAGAACGCCTCTACTCCCCCACCACCCAACCTTGGCGTCAATTATTGCGCAATTGCCCCCAACAATAAAGCACCATTTTTGTATACGAGCTTCGAACCTAACTAGAAAATCAAGACATTCCAGAAAAAGAAGGCAAGTAACTTTTTCTTTTAAACTCAGCAAAAATATAATAAATTTTAATCAAAATTTCCGTTTTTTCTTTTCTTTTCTTTTCTTGTCTCCCGTTATATTTCTCTCATCCATTTTTTTCTTTCAAACTTAAAAAAAAATAAAATACATCTTTTGTTTTCTCTCTCTTACTCATCATTTACATCTCTTTACTCTTTCAAGTTCTAACAAAAATTTGTATTTTCATATTTAACCATATAAAAATTTCATTGCCCTTATCATTCATTTTTTTTTACTTTTTGTCAAAGAAGACGAGATTAAAGTCTCAACTGACACTTACATCCAATATTAAAGAGTAAACATCTCCAAAAGAATAATAATACAATGCTTAAAAACTAACAAAACATAGAATGTTCACTCAAAAACATTTTAAACAAAAAATTAAACTAAAAAATTAAGTGAAGCAAGTAGAGAACATGTTCTCTTTTTTAACACTAATTTTGTTTCTTCACACAAATAGCTGCTAAAAAGAACTCGTTTTTTTTATATATATTGTCCTCTCTTTTTGTTGTATTTTAACATAGTCAGTTGATATAATAGCATTGCTTTAAATTTGGAAGTTTGAAGGATCATGAAAAATATAATAGATTTTACAAAAGTCAGTTAACATTAACTCAAAAAAAATAAAAAGGAAACTCATAAATAACAATAACACGGACGAAAAAAAAATGTAAGCGTTAACTTAAAAATAAATTTAAAGGGGTTAAAGAATAAGTTAAAAAAGAAATTTTCAACAGCTAAAAAAAATATATCATTTATAATGTAAAGAGACTCTTATAAAAAGAAGACCTTCTCTTAAAGGAAGAAATGAAAGAGTAATAACTACACCTATAAATATAAAGGAAAAAAAATAAGCTTCTAAAGTTTATGTTTTCGAGAGGAGATTAAAAGTATGTTTGATTTTATTTTTAAAAATTAAATCACATTTTAAGTAGATGTCTTCTTAAATATAAGTTCAGCTCTTATTATTAGTTTTTTTTTTTTTTGTCATCCATAGTTTTTTTATTTTTCTAAAAAGCTGCACGTGGAGAAAAAATAAGCCCAAAAACTAAATTGGGCTGAAGTTGGACTTAAATTTATATAGTCTTTTTTTTTTCTAATAAATTTATATAGTCTTGAGCTACGAAGCCATTGTATATTTGTATACTACATTTATTACATTGTTGGAGGATTTGGTAATACTAAGGCTATGTTTATATTAAATATTAACAACACATTATTTTAAATATATTACTCACTTTTTATAAACATAAAAGCATTCATTTTATAAATTATTTTTAATTTTAAAAAACTAAACTAGCATTATTCATAATTCACTCACAGAAGATGGTTTAGTTAGATGAAATTTTTCAACTTCACTTTTTTTATGTTCTGTTAGTGAAAGAAATAACAACATTGAATAATTGCTGTCAATGAGTTAAAATTCTTTAATGAATTAAAATTTTATACTGTTTATAGTTTAAACTTATTTTGAAACATGAAAAAAGATTATGATAAAAAAATATTAGCTTTAGTACATGACCAGTGTAAAAATACCGTCAGTTAATTAGAATACATCGTAAATGTAATTTTTATATTAATTATTATGAAAATTAAATATATTTTTTAATATGATTATGATTAAATGATAGCATAAAAATATCAGATTATTAATACATTTAAATTGAATTTAAAAATAAATAAGTTGTTTATTAATAAAAAAAATTATAAAAATATGAATATTTATTATTATCAAGATATTGCTAATTAGA